TGCTGTTTAATGTCTGCTAATAATCCAGTAGACATCAAACTTTCTGGGTCCTCCTACTTAACTTTAAAAAAAAATATTGATATTTGCTCTCTTCCAGTCTTCTGGGACCTCACAGCTCTCAAGAAAATCTCAAAGATTACATATTGGATTAATTTATATACTGTAAATTAGCTAAGTGTTATTTTACCCTCTGCTTGTCTATCCTGAGTTGCAGCTCCCTCCTTCCACCTGATTTTGATTTGGCTTAATGTCAAGATTTACTGGACCCCCACTCCCCAAAAATGACACTTTCTAACTAACCCTTCGCCATTATTTTTAAGCAGTTTTATCCAATCAAGGATTTGGTTCATGTGTTCTGAGATGCTTGTGTCATGCTGCATTCTTAAGGACCACATTCTTTGCATCAGATGCACAGAGAGCTGGTAGTCTTTCTGATTTTAAGATTTATACACAGGCCATAGATATCTATCACATCCAACATTTGGGTTTTTCTGGTGTTTTGACTGTCTCTCATTGGTCATAAAGTTAAGGACGGACTGTTTCGGATGAGATAGAAATTATTGTCAAATCTTACAATTTTGACTGCTGATTCTCATTATCGACCCCAATAATAGTTTTTTAAAGTGCTATAATGATATCTGATCTTCTTTATAGTCATATAAGGATTTAATAAGAGCCAGTTTGGTGTAGTGGTTAAGGCACCAGGTTAGAAACTGGGAGACCATGAGTTCTTTCTTAGGCACAAAGCCAGCTGGGTGATCTTGGGCCAGTCACTCTCTCTCATACTAAGGAAAAAGGCAATGGCAAACCACTTCCAAAATTTTGCCAAAAAAACTGCAGGGATTTGACCAGGCAGCTGCCAGGGGTCAACACTGACTTGAAGGCATTAAAAAAAAAAATGTAATACTACTAGTAGTATAATAGAGGAATGTTTTTTCCTTAACATTTTTTAAATTCATATCTAAGTTTTACAGTTTGTAAATCTCTTTTCTCTCCTTTCTTTTCTCAGTTTCTATTCTTAGGTATTGTCATGTCTTGTATTTTTTCAGTAGCCAAGTCTTATTCTTAATCTCCACACCTTTCTTTAGTTCCACCAGCTGACTAACCTAGTCAGCTGAGTTGCCTTCATCTTAGCTTCCAACCTCATTTTCCAGGAGAGTGGTATGTACTGCTGTTCTTCTTGATCATGTAGCCAAGCATCTCCAGGATTACTGTAGTGTGTACCAGTTCATTGGTTTGAGTTATGGTGGTAGTAGGGATTGTCGTGAGGGCTCTATTGGCA